CAACAGGCTTGCAGCCAACAGGCTTGCAGCCAACAGGCTTGCAGCCAGCAGGCTTGTGAGCCCACAGGCTTGTGAGCCAACAGGCTTTAGCAAGCATGTGGTGATTGGGAAATCCAACACAACCCAAACAAACAGGCAGTGCTTCAACAACCAGTGGTTAGCCAACAGGCTGCAAGATGACAAATGAAAGCCAACAAGCCAATTTTATAACCTAAGGTGGTGGGAGGTAGACACAGCCGACAGGCTCCAAGAAGAGTGAGACTGCAAGCCAACAGGCTGTTGCAACAGACCACAAACACAGAAGCCACTCCTTGTGCAATTTTTTCATATCGCAGTGTTGCTTAGTCAATGATGTCCAAGTTTTCTCTTCTTATTGGCTTCTGCAACTTCAAGTGCCTTCATGTCCAAGAACATCAATTGCTCATGCTTGGCCAAGGGCTTGCAATTCTGCAAATAAGGGATCTTGATGCCATTCTTTTTCAAATGCACAAACTCCATGTTGGCAAACTCTGACTCTGTAGTGCCCTTGCACCACCAAAATGGGCTCAGCACTCCTTCTGCCTGGGCGAAGTTGCTGCATGCTTTGAAAGGGGCTATGTTCCAGAAAAGGCCACAGTATTCAATATATGTGTTGTGCTCTGGCTTCTTCTTTGCTTGCTGACAATGCCCCAAGGCAAAAGCTTCAAAGCACCCTTCTTAGTGACCTTCTTCAGAGAAAACACAGCTGCTGGGTGTAAAGCAAAAGCAACAACTTCTGCTTGTGCTCCAGCTTCTTGTGTTCCAACTTCATGTGGAACTCAGTGGTTGAGCCTTTCCACACTCAATGGCATAGAGTGTGGGCTCCAGGTGCACACTCAAGATGGCTTGCGAGTCTTCTGTAGGATCAAGCTCATACAAGTTGCCATCAGACACCACAAAATATCTGTCAGCCATTGGTGCAAAGTGCTCAGGCAAGGGCGGTATAGCAGTGTTTTGAGCTGAATCCATAAGCCAAAGCAAGGTCTTTCAAAAACACATCTCTGGCTAAGGCACAAACATTAAAGCCAACAGGCTTTTTTCCTAAGCCAACAGGCTTTTTTCATCTGCAACAGTGTTGCGAGAAAGCTTGCTGGCACATGAAAGCAATATGCAACCAGGACCAAAAAACTTCAACAACCACAGCATTTGTAAACACTGAAAAGCAACATTTTTTAATTGATATTTTATGTTGATTTTTTGTTAACTAGTTACTAAGTGTGCTAACTTTTTAACATAATTAACTTAGTTAGCTAAAGTTATCTTAACTTTAGCAACTGTCACCAATATAATTAACTAGTTAGCAACATTATAAGAGGTTATACATGGTTACTACATGGTTAGCACACAGTTATAAACAGTTACTAGTAAATAACTAAAAGGCTTAATCTTGTTAACCTATTAGTAAAAAACAGATCCTTTAAGGAGGGTTGCACGGGCACCCGGCAAATCGCACTCTCGCCTGCATTTCGCGCACTC